CAGTTGGCCATGACTGTAAATGCCCGACCGCCAGTCCAGAGTGACGACGGGCCGGGGCGCGATTAATTGAGCCGCGAACCGTGTCACCAATGCCCAGACCAGCGCTGTTGGCACCGGTTAACGCTACCACGCCGCATCGACGCCGCACCGCTGACCACACCGCCGACAGCACCACGCTGCCTGCCACCCCGACAGCTTCACTAGTGGGCAAAAGGGGTGAGGCTAGGCGCAGCCGGCCGACGACCGCCGCACAGGTAACCAGGGTCATGACCACCGGGAGGACGTCGCCTGCCGCCCGACTGACTTGCTGAGGAGCAAAAGGGGGTGAGGCGGGGGATCTGCGTTCGAGTCTCGGAGAAGGAAAAAATGTTTACTTGTAGAAAACACTTTTGCAGATTGATGTAGTCATAAAATGTAGAGGTGCTTTGAGCAATATTGCGAGAATGTGTGCACTTTTGGAGCCCCACCAGTTTCATTTTTTAGCATTTTTATAATAAACGCATAAACAATTTTTTATTGGGAGACCCTTTTTTAAAAAATGCAGTTTCCGCAAAGTTAATCGCATTTTTTGACAGGTCAGGAATGCTCTATGGCCGTTTGTCAAGGTTTCCTTTGATGTTTTTACCACACTAATAATATCGCGTCTTTGTATTTTTTGTCCTAGAACCAAAAACCCTTTTCAAAAGACATTGCGCACTTTTCTGTTGATAACTTTGCTTTCTATGGCAACGGATTTTATTTCACGACGCTACCTGTAGGCACTACAAAATTACTTGACTTAGACTTTACTATTGCTACCAGATGGCGAGATACAAAAGCTTCTGAACGAGATGTCAAGAATAGTTGCAAAACTAAAGGTACATTTAAATAGCAGTCCTTAGTCCATAGCTGATTTACCAAACGAGATCAGATGCCGTCATTGATATGCAAAATTGTTTTGGTTGGTCATTGGTTAATGTAACTAGGAAATGTAGCAAATTTAATTAGTCAGAGTAACAAAGAGAATTTGGATTTGCTCTCAACACACGAAAAGATCTCACTGCCCTGAGGTATAACAAGCTCGCAAGAGCACAATATCTGCGAGGTCCCCAACAGACGATTTGGGAATTACTAAGCGCGGGCATTCGTCATAA